CTAAATGATAGTATCACAATAACAAGCGCAAATGCAAAGAGTCACTGTGTGTTTCTTAAAAGCATCGTGCTCTGCCTTCATAACAAATCCAATACAGATGTTTTTTTATTATATGGGAGAATCATTTAGGCGGTATAAACATTCCCTTGATCTGTTTATTTTTGAATTTAAAGAAACTAGAGACCGTGCTCGGTCTCATGTTTGGAGTCTTTAAAATTTCTTAAGATATCCAATTCAATAATTTATTTATATACATAGGGAAGGGCATCCCGGGTGAAAAACCTGTCAATGACAAATTGTGAGCGCCTGACAAAAGCGCCCGAGATACGCAAAATACGATGCCGAAAAGAAGCCATCTGCATAAAAATCGCTCCAGTGCTGCGTTGTGAATGCCGGATTTACTCTCGATGACGCTCATAATAGAACACGTTTCTGTTCAAACAAATAAATATCCGTCTACCCATGAAGTGGTGCCTGGCATTTGACTTGAGCCAAGTTTTCTGGCGGTCAATTCTCTTATCGCAAATTATACTGACTGCAAACGTCAGACTTCAATTGACGGGTTTCTCCCTTATATTCTCGTTGCGCGGTAAGGAAATGTCAATATAAAAAATAGTTTCCCGAGGCCAGCATTGTAAGATGCTGCTAATGAATACTTTACTAAAGTATTAACTTTTTTACTTTACTTCACTTAAGTATTCATTATTATTAGAATGCAATTAATTGCAAACGCGCAAGCGAGCTGGACAAGAATGATGAAAAAATGATGAATACGTATTCATTAGTTGATAAAAACTTCACATTTATTGTATTTTGGAATGCACAAGTTTATATGCCCAAAACATATATCTGATTTTTTTAGACCTTTCAAACAATTCCAAGGTTCTTCGTACTGAAACAACAGAAACAATTAAAATGAATTAAAACAATTTATGTTGAACTTTGTGCTTATAGAGTTGCTTCTTGTGGTAAAAGGTATTTTTCACTAAGATTTCTTTGACTAAAAAAAGTTGTATTTCTTAAATACGTTCGTGTATAAACTTATATTTTATCTATATAATTAATGTTATAAAATTTATTGTAAAAGAAGTTATCATAAACCAAACCAAGTAAAATATCGTCAAAAGCGCCAGATTGTATATCTTGTTCCAAAAATAATAAGAAACAAACCTACATTTGTATAAGCATCTTGTACTTCTACTGTAGTTGAAAAAGTAACGTAAAAGGTGTCTTTGCTGTGCGGAGGGCATAAGAGCCTGACGAAACGGCCGATTAGGCTCCCTGTAACGATAGCCCAAATACCCCAATCCACCTTTGGTTCTTCAAAAGTAAAAATACTTGAGAACTCCAAAATATGCCGCGAAAACTGTTTCCAGTTTCCTCCTAGTGAACATTTTTTCATTATATATTGTAAGGAAGACATATCTTTCTCAGGAGCCGGAAATTGTGTTCTGTGGAGCTAGGCTCTCATAAGTCATGGTCACATAGAAACCTCGGCGAGCATATATAACCTGCCAATGTCCTTCAAAAAGTGTTTTTTTTTTCTTTTCGGATTACGCACACGGGCACGAGTGTATGGCTTTGGGAAGTTCACTCTATGCTTGAGTTATAGCACAAACGAAATATTTAACTTTGTATATGCTGTAGACCTCTCTGATGTAAACGTTTGGCGATTGGGACGTCGATTAGAATTTTTTAACGCATCGGTTAAGCTGCCAGTTGTCAGACTTTGGTTCTTATTTGGCTCAGCTACGCAGTGCGGGAATCACATTTACAATAAATCTGGAAGCGTTAAATATTGAATGTTTATTTCAACATTTGTTTGGGCACAAAAGCGCTCTGCACTTTATCGGGAGAATTCACTGGCAGCCACAGCTGAGTCCGCGGGTGCTTAGTGCGTGCTAATGGCAAACTCTCGCAATCTTTTCTTTAGCTTGCATTTGATGTCAAGAGAGCTGCTCTTAGCACACTATTCGCTCTTTATCGCGTAAGTTGAGACATGGTAGCACCACCGTGTAAATAGTCCCTAACCACTTCCGGTTCTGAGCTAGACGGAGGGTTTCGCAGTATTTGCGAAATCAATTATACACGCTTTCTTCTGGAAATTACAACTTATAGCACTGTCAGACTTAATTCACTCGTATGATAAAAGAATGTTCAGTAAGACATTAGGAACAATACGTGTACCGGAAGTGTCCCGGGGCTCCTCAATATATGGCGCCACTGAGTTTGTTGCCAAACAAAAAAGGGGCGAAAGACTGTGAGCTCCTGAGCAGGCGCTGTGAACAACGCACTCAAATATGACACATAGAAGTTTAAAGCCTACCTAATCATCTTCTGCCGGTTAGGAAACCGGTTCCCAGTATTTCTCTCTCCCTTCCCTTTCGCACACTTTTCACCTCCCCTCCCAACAAGAGCGGGTCTCCGAGTCTCCACTGAAAACAGGAGGGTCTTCTTCTTTCTCAAGTGGAAAGAAGGAATAGGAGGAGTTCCCACCTATCTGGTTTCTCGTCGGCCTTTGATGATGCGCCGGATGATCCGCGTCGAGCGCGGGCTTCCTGCTTTCCGCAATCCTTGGGGTCTGGTGAGCACTGCCAGTCAAAGTGCGACGGAAGGCAACTGGCGCGTGCAGCGCAATCTTAACTTGTATCCGACCACAGCGTAACCCTGGAACGAGCATCTTTTTGCTTTTTCTGTTGCACAATAACCTCTCATCTTTTTGCGAAGAAATTGCGAAGTTCCCACCACGAATGCGCTGAACCCAAACTACGTTTTGGCTTTGGAAGCGCAATCTATTCTTCGGAAAGAGCGCGGGAAGCGATACTCGCCCCAAAGCACTTGCGTTGACCAAGGGAGGCGCGGGAGCTCAGAGGGGGTCTAAAGCCAAGTGCTTGAAGCTGAACCAATCGTGCATTGGCGGTTATCAGGTATTCTAGGCCAAGAGGGCGGAATAGCGGCGATCACCTTCGCCCTGCGGCCGACAGTGGTCCCACGTTTTATGCATTTATGTTACTAGGTACACTGTAAAACCGTTTCCCTGAAAATGACGGGAAATGTCTTCGCAGCTCTATTTCCAAGCTTTTGAACGTCAGAATGATGGTGTTTTCTGACTTATTTCATCATCATCCCGTTGAGCCTTTCAATGCTAGAAATAGAACGGTGATTATCAAAATTAGTCTATACTGCATAGAGGTCAAGCGACGTCAAGGCGAGGTTCAAAAGAGTGGAATCCCGAGATCAGGGGAAAAAGAGGGACACAGGCTACAACCTTAGTTGTTGCTTGTGTCATCCATTCTTGTTTCTTGGTGCCAGGTTTCCACGACGTATTGAGTCCAACAGCTTGCCTGTATCTCTTGTGTCATTCCTGTCAATATAAGGTTGTCAGGACCATGCAATATTTCATAAAATAAGCTGCAAAACGTTGAAATCAGTTTTTAGATATTTATTGCTCACACTGGATGAAACCTGTACTACAAAATTCACATATAACTTGCGGCTTGCTGTGTGGTCTCACGAAGGGCATGCGCCAGAAGCATCGCTTGTTCCCTTTCCCCTTCTTTTTGCACGTCTCGTCTTTTAAGGTTTTAGTTTTTTTACCTTAGGTGTTAAGCACTAAAAAAAGCCATGGACCATTCCTGAAAATCAAAACACAATTGTATACCATGATTAGATACATATAGGACACTGGGAAGGTGCAGGATGCATGCAATGGCCCCATACCTCACTTAATGAGCGTTATCAAAAACCACTAAATCAGTCAGTTTCAGAAATATTTTAAGCATAGCGGGGTGCAAAAGTTGCCACTTTTTCTACAGGCACATGGCTGGCAAGCTGAAAACACAGATAATAAAACAGAAAAAAACAACAAAACAAAGCATGTGTTTCCATATATTTCAGCGTAACTGACTTTTGTGGTTTGCGACAAAGCCGAGCCTGTCTCTTATTGCAACTAAGTATGTTTATTTTTAGTAAACTAATAAAAACACGCAATAATTAGCCGCAACATGCCACAAGAAACATTGTGATAGTGGCCGCCAAACCAGATAAACTAATGCCAGCATTCGAGGTGTGTTAATGCAATCTTTCATTATACAAAATTATGGACAATCTAAAACAGTGGTCTCAAACTCATTTGAGTGTGGGAACCAAATAGCCGACCACCGAAAGGTCGAGGGAAAGGGGGGAAGGGGAGAGGAGGAGGGATGGGTAAAGAAATTTGTTAGAGAAGGCACCTTGTGCTCTATGCTTTTAGTAACTTGCAAGTTTGACAGTGACATTTTTAGTTGCCATTCTTCTGTTGCGGTCTTTTTGGCCCGTCCTTGATGCGATTTAAACGTACTGGCAAGTAGTGTAGTTGCTTACCACGTACTGGTAAGCAAGTACACTGTGGTTCCCGTTGCCTACTTCACTCGGAAATTATTCAAGCTTAACATGTCTCGAAATAAACTCTTCATTCGACAATAAACCATACATAAACATTCAGTTGTTAGTCAGCGCTCGTTCCGTCCACTTTTTCTACTCGTCTTTCTGGTTGTTGGGCTATCTTGTCGCCTCTATCTCAAACTAAATATATATCACACGCTGCAGCTTATCATTAGACGAGAGCGCTTATCATTAGACGAAGATATTCTCAGATATATGGACCCAGCCACAAGGACCTTGAACCAAGTGTGTGCCTCTACAGTACTAAAGCAGGGGTAACACTGGTTGTGCATCGTACAAAAGAACCGGCGTTCACTCCAGACACGATGAAAAATAAAATCGACTAACGCGTCTCAAGGGTGTTGGAAGCACGATGTTTTAGCTCTATATGTGTGTCTGTGTGTGCTTTAAGACGTGTCTGCCGGTAGTTTTTGTATGACCAGTGTGACGGGGCCGTCATATACACGTGATGCCTCATGCAGTGGCTTCAGACTCACTTTTATGCGATATACGAGCAGCCTGACTCACTCATCCTTGTCTTTCTAATTTCCCGCACCGCTCCTGTCGTTAATCCACAGAAGGATCGGGGTCTGGGCCGCGATCTGGATCGGAATCCTGGCGTTCCTCGTCGTAGACTCCCTGAACGACCCCCGGCGACTCGTGTCGGTCGCCGGCGCCGTGGTGCTCATCTTCCTGGGCTATGTCTTCTCCAAACATAGGCAAGAGGTGAGCTTTCTTTTTAACTTCACTAAAGCCTCCGTCACAGTGCTAATATGTCATACAATGTTGTGTATGCAGATATGTTCTGACTATACGTCTGTATGAAGTCAATATACTTAAGGCGCGTCTGCAAAAAAAAAAAAAATTGTCATCGCGTCAGCACCGAACACTGTGCCTTTTGTATCATGTATGACCAGATATGACTCTGGCTTAAAAGGGCTAAAATTTGCCAGAGTCCTTTTGCTAAAATTCTCATGAACATGCAGTGTTGAAATTGGTGAGATTGCTGTAAATCTCAATAACATACTTGATTTGGTTCGAAATAAAACGTCCCATTTTATGTCGCACGACTACCCGCGGACGTCGAGCAAAATGTCCTTAAAAATAAAATCTTTAGCTTCGCCGATTGGCTGAGAGAAGTAAACTTGTTCATTTTTTTCGTGTTTCACAAAACCTACCATTCCTTTTTGCATAACAATTACTGTCAATCCCTGTCTCATATAAATTTTGCGTCGTTACGGCAACTTGAAAATAAATCCTTCATTCACTGGAACAAATACATTTCGAAATTCCCCGCTTCCCTTATACGTTAAAGGAGCTGTGCAACGATATTCAGTTGGAATGTTTTTTACTTTACACGAGCTTACTGGCGCACCTGGGACTCAAGGATACTCACACGCAACGCCATTGGCCAAGGAACTCTTTTGTTGCGGTGTAATTTCAAGGACAAAAGCGATCAATTGCATTCAATCTCTCCTTTGCAAAATTTGATGACGTAACTCGGGGATCGCAGTACACCCAAGTGACGATATTTGAATGCGGTTCATAGATTGGACCCGAGCATTGCGTGGGCACTCGACTTGGGCTCGTGACAATTGCTACCTCGAGAAGCATTCGGGTTGTGACCCGTGTCCAATCGCTGCAACGACGACAACAGCCGAGCCATAACAATGTCTGCAACTCAGCGCGTGTCCTGCGCTTTGCCAACCCCAGCGCGTGGCTATGATCAACACTGGCGGCATATAATCGGCTCCAGCTCACGTGGCCGCTTATTCTGGCTGCGAGTTGAGGGGGTGAACGGTGCTCGTTTTTCTTAAATTTGTTTCTGGGACTTCTATTGCGTGGGGTGAAAAACGAACGCGTGTTTCATAGGTCATTAACGTTAGGGATCCGTTTTAAGCGGTATTTGTGCACAGTACAAAAATTGTTGCGTTGCTCCTTTAAGGACTGGATCGAATTCTCTCCCCAAAAAAACGTACTTAAAACTGACAACGAAAAGTACAGTAATTTTGTTCGGGGTGAACCTCATAAGTGTTTTGCCTGAGTCGAAATATTTATTCTATATCACTTACTGCTATTTTCGTTTACTTGTCTTTTTTATATTACCTCATATTATGTGTAATGCTAATAATTAACCCCAGTGTAATTCGGCAACCCTCACTGCTGATTTCTTGTACTAGATCCCCTTCATGTAAGGTACACTTCATTGAAGTACCTTTAAAGGTTAATAAACGAAAACGAACTGAACTATAAATAAATGCACCTTTGGAAAACTCTTCTTGAAACTGTTTTTAGGAGAGCAGCGCTGTGCATATATGGCGCTCTCGTCTCTGAGAATAAAAGTACCCCCAAAAGAATACGAGCTGAAACACCGGAAATGTCCTTTGTGTGCGTCTGCGGTTCCCAAAATCTCTTTACCCCTCCATTTGCCGAATAATTCAAGAACTTTACCTTCGCATCCCGTTTCTAATTAAAACCACAGCTTTCCAAAAAAAAAAAAAAGAATAAAGGCAGGTACTCTAAGGAGGCGGGAAGGACCGTTTCATAATGTTCGTAATAGTAGAAACGAACATGCAGTTTTCCTGTCCATTAAATTTAATTATTGGGTCGAGCCTCTGGCCTTACAAATATGAGAATATATATTCCCCCACACAAGTTTTGTGCCGTGCTGCCCAAGGTGCGTAATTTGCGCGAGCAATCGAAGTTCATTTACGTAATCGTGGCCGTTTATCTCGATACGCTGTACTAAAAAAAAAAAAAAAAAAAAAAAACTTTTTTCCAGAAAATATTTTTTTTTAATTGTTTGCGCACAGAGAGACCTAGATGAGGGTCTTATCATCTTCGTTTTTGCACTGCCATCCTCGCGTCTGTTCCACGGGTGGAAATTTCAGCGCACCTCCTCGCTTCACACGTGTTTCATAGTTTTATAATATTGACTGAGTTAGTAATTTTGCAGTTTTTATTGGAAACCATTATCGCTATTTTCATCAATTTACGAAGTTAGCGAACAAATTCAAGACAATTACCCTGCTTATCGTAACAATTAGCCCGTATGTTATGTTCTCCTGGCCATGTAACTCACCTGCGCAAACCGCTATAAGTGCATTTCACGGGCTTGAAAAAATTTTTTCATATTAAAACCAGTCACCTGTTCTATGTTCACTATGACATTACCTTGCTTTGTAATTTTCCGACGTATACTTTATCATTTGGCATTAAAACGCGGTACTCTAATACAAGATTGCTGCCTCTTTTGATGCATGACACAAAACACAAAACTGCATTTCTTCGTAGCGTTATTGTGCCCGAATCGCTCAAAGAATTCGCTTTCAACGATGCATATCACCTAATTTCAATATTGTGCCGCGTATTGCGCAGATCAGAGATGGCAAAATTTCTTTTAAAATGAATTAAATTATATTACCAATTACTTTCCCAACAACTGCACAAATGTAATTAAATTACATTACAAATTACCGCAGACTAACGGTAATGACGTTGCATTACAATTACTCTCCTAAAGTACTGATATTACTTTAAAGTTACTTTGACATTACTTTTGAATACCTTGAGTCAGTAATTTGCGCTCATTTTATTTACCGGATACACCACCACAGTGTTTAAAAAACAAGTCCTCGTTTGCTCACACAGCGCCTGTGCAGGAACCAGACCCGGGAGAAGCGAGGCGCTGCGCATATGCAGTGCTGAGAGCAGCGCCACCGCAGTGATATGACCAAAAACTCAGATCTTCATTAGTTGCCTCAAACTGAACCATACTGAACAGTGGTTTTGCTGGCGTACACGACATAAGTGTTAAACATGATAAGTATAACTTCTTTAGATGTGACTCAGAAAGGCAATCGACTCATCGAATTCGCTGTTCATTCAACAGTGAAGGTTCTTATTAAAATGGTGATATGTTTCCGTCTTCCTGATTTAGAAGTTGTAGTCCGTGTCAGTTTGGTAAGTCGGGAAATGGCAGCTCATTCCTACAAGGAGTCGTCACGTGAAACGTTTCCCTTGCGCATTAGACGCAATCTAAATCTATACCTCCGAGAGCACTATACTCGGCGATAACTTTTCTTAGCAATGCAGTGGAGAGGAGGAGAGCCCGCGCTCATCTTTATTCAGCGCTCAAAATGGGAAAGGAAACGCGTGCCTGTACCCTCCACTGCATTCCCAATAGAAGTTGTCGCCAAGTATAGTTGACGTATTCTCGGTCATTTCTTTGAAGGAGCATATTTCCGAAACACCCGAAGAGTCAAATTTTTGCGCATTGTCACAGAAGGGGCCCGGATAATTGCTAAGCAGAAGTTTCGCCAGCTGGAGAATGGCGCGAGCTTCCCTAAATTTCATACTTTCCCAACAAGCCGGGGGGGGGGGGGGGGGGGGCGATGTCTGCTTTTAGGCTTATTTCCGAATAAACTTCCCAAGGGAAGGCAGCGAGGCATACCGCGAGCGACACCTGTTTTGCTCGAGGACGCACGAAACGTTCTGGGGCTTTGACGAGGCATTTGGAATTAACTATTTTCATTCCGGTCGCTTTTTGTTCACAATGGTCGAAGCTTACGGTTTGACCTAGTTTGACGAAAGTACAAGATCTGTTTGTCCTCTGCTCTCAGTTTTTAAATTATGTTTAACTCACTGGTGATGTGCTCGTCGCCTTGTAGCTTATGAGCCGTTCATTCCTAAGCTGACACACTGTCAGCTTAGGGCTGAACGGTGAAAGCTACATGTTTGTTGGAGCAGGCACACGCCTATCGTTGATCACGTAACCACGCTCTCGTTCATACCCACGCGCAGAGAAAGGAACGGGACACGTGATTAAAAGAAGGTGTCTGATTGGTCGTGCTTAGCTTGCAGCTCCCACTGCACTGTCAGCTTAGTGATGAGCGAAGTATAGTATCGTCGTGATGACGCGACACCGTGAATCTGTCGTGCCTAGAGTTGGTAAGCCGCTGCCTTCCAGCGATGTCCACACGCAAGCTTTCCACGTTCGGCTTTCCAGCCCTCCTTTGTGCGTCTGTCCAGCTCTTCGTACAAGGCTTTGCGCTCAGGTAGCCGTCGATTATATCTTCTGATGCTCTTTCACAACATTTCACCATGCAAAATGATGATCTCTTCTTTCTTAAAGCTTGCAAACGAATTCTCTAATTTATGACAAAAGTAATTTTTAAAAAAATGGGTAATTTTCACGAAAATACTGCCTGAAAGTAATGCATTATATTACTAAATTACTAGCCTACAGAAGTAATTCATTACATTACTCATTACTCCAAAAAGTAATTTAATTACTGTAATCCGATTACAGTAATGTCATTACTGCCATCTCTGGCGCAGATCAACTGGTACCAGGTGATGTGGGCTGTCCTCCTCCAGTTCCTGTTAGGCCTCATTGTGCTCCGCTGGCCACTTGGCCGAGAGGCGCTCCAGTGTTTCGGCGACAAGGTCAAGAGCTTTCTAGACTTCACGTTCGCTGGCTCCACCTTTGTGTTTGGCTATTTGGCCAAAGGCTTCAACCTGACCGAGGCTCTCGGAGACCTAGTCAAGCCACAGAACGCAAATTCGTCGCTCCAGAACGTCACCGAAGTTGCCCCGCCGTCGATTGAGAATTTGCCTCCACTATTTGTCTTCCAGGTAAGCCTATACCCTCTCGTGAATATACACCAAAGCGCTGGTTACAGACGAATCACGTGAGGTGTGTGAAATGCGCGTGCGCAGCAACCGGATTCATGTAAAGGAAAGCGAACTGCGCATGCGCCGTGCTTATAAAGCAGCCTCACCGTAGTGGTGTAACGTAAAAGCCACGCGTTGGCTGTGAGGAGGCATTCACATTTGTTCGCGTCATCGCGAGCTGTGGTTAATGTGACTTACAGTCTGCGAATAACAGCAGCTTTTAAGATGTGAAACAAATCTTTTGAAAGCTTGGAGGCAGCCCTCATTGATCAACAGTGGCGCACGCATCTATGACGGCCATTAAATACTCGGTATAGCAGAAGACGGACAAAATGTATGCGCGAGTGACTCCCGTCAAGTATTCTACCTTAACGTAAAAAAAAAAAGAAACCTTCAATAAGATTATGGTTAAAAAAAAAAAGAAACAGCTAGGCTTTTCTCACAAGCATTCCGATTTATTCATAAATAAAATTTCCACGTGCACCAAGCGGATCAGGAACCGCAACCTTCAGTTTTTCAACACTTGAATATCTTGCTGGCAAGACTTCGCCTGTCTTTCGACGTACCAGGAACTAATAGACAGGTCTAGTATGTTGGCCAAATTATATATACCTGCCTTTTAGTTTCATAGAACTCCGGCACAGTTTTCTTCAAATTAAGATTATTTTTTTTTCAAGTGAAGCCTGATATGTGCTATTTTTTGTTACGTTTAGCGAGAAAAGTGATTTTTTTTTTACGCGTCTAATCACTCTGCGCACGCTAACTCAATCTCCATGAAATATATCTAGAATGCGGGCATGTGTTTCACTTCTGAAAATATTGACAACAAAAGCAGTATTTTTCACCCTGAATTGTACTTAGATTCATCCAGAAAACATGTATTGAGCGACTCTCGTACATGTTCACTGAGTCGACAGGGCGCGCTCCTCCGCGTCAAGCGTCAGAGCTCTCAGTAGCAATGGTGAGCGAACTTGTGAGAGTATTTGTAATGACGCTTTTATTCTGAACACCTCCCGAGTATATAATACGCTTTCAGCACTAATATTCTACGTCGCACCCGCGGGGAGCATGTCAAACATTTCTATAAAGCTCTAAAAATATGTTTACTAAAGTTCTAATTAGTAATTGTTACGAGAGAGTTGAAAAAGTGGTGTAATAGCCTTGTTGCATAACCAAATTTTTAATATCTGTTTTAACGCGGAAGTAAGTTTGTACCTCGCTCTGCGAGTTTGCATTTTATGGTTTTCAAGTTTGAATTTACAGAGTTTGTAACTTGTCGGGTTTTCTAACATGTAAATTGGATTTCGTCAGTAAGTTTCTAGGTTATGAAACTCATGTTTTTGTCGGAAGCTTGCTTGTGCTTCATCCGATGTATAAATAATAACGAAATTCCTATCCAATGCAACAGTCTCCCGCCCACAAATACACACGTGCTTGTGCGGGTGGTTCTGGTGTTTTAGCAATAAACATATGAACGTATTTCGATAAACCTAACGGCAGGGCACTCACGCAGTGGAATAATTTTTGAATTCACTATGAGTGTATTGAACCACGGAACAAAGAAAGCAAAATGTATTCCATATTATAATCCTCGTTTCAGTGTGAATTGGGATGTAGTTGATAATGTCTTTCATTCCAAGCTTGAACTTCTATCGCTTAGGCTGGCTCTCAATCCCCTCTTAGAACCCTCGGCCGGTGCTTGCTATATGCTTTCATGATGGGGATGACACGGGTGGTTTTGACGGTAACTAACCCTGTTAAGGGCTAAACAGGCAAGGCGGCAGTAGCTACGCTCCCGGTGCACCATTCAAATTAAATCTTGCATTATGTTATCATGCTCTCTCCGTATATACCCGTGACGTCAGCAGGCAATACCCACGCGATATAAAGGTATAGGATAGACAATTTCTGCGAAGACGTAGGTTTTAATGCCCCGTCAACTTAGCAGCGAACATCGTTGTGGATGAATGCCCTTCGCAGTATAGGGATAAGATGTGCACGATTTTCGCCCCTGATAAGCTTGTAAGTACGACACAAATAAGAAGCCGCTGCCAGAAAATACATGTAATGATAACTGTTTGGTCTTTGCTCGACTAAGAACAGACATTTCCTCTCAAACCTGTTTTATGTAAACCTGAAATATTTATGTGCGTCGCGTGAGCTAGAATGCTAGCGCTGCAGAGGTCAACTTGGTGTTTTACCAAAACCACTTGTCAGCTGTAAACTCTCCATACGTAAGAAAGAAGCATCTCGAAGGCACAATGCGGCCCGTGGGCCACGGATTGCCAGGCCTCGGGCAAGATTAAGCCTCAATACTCGAAGCGAGCTCGCCCTTGAAGAAATATCTTTTTTTTAGCATCCAGGTTGTGTAGGGTTTCATTAATAACTAGCATGAGCTAGAAGGTGGATGAAGAGACGGGTTATACTCGGTCCCACATTTGTCGAGGGTTTTAGGGAACTATTTTCGCACATCCGACACGGTACGATGAGTCACCCGCGGTACGAACTGCGCTTTTGCGAGCCTTCGGCGGTAGCACATGCGCAGTTCGTACCGGAGGGCCAATCGTGCCCTATGGGATGCACGAAAACGATTCCCTAAAACTCTCCTACATCCGACCGCAGCCAACGCTACGATGCGATAGAGCGTAGAGTATCTCCGCATGCCTATACTCTATTAGACTAACTCTAGTAAGTCTAATGGTGTGAATCAAGCCAAGGCAAAGGTGCATTCCCACGACGTTCGTCGAATTTCTGCGTTTGATATCATCGGCTAAACTAGAGTCACTGGATGTTCCCAAAGCACCGAAACTCCCAAGCTTCGTTTCAGAACCGAGTCGCGGCGCGGCTTTCGCGTTCCAACTCATCCCCCAATATGGCGCTGCCCTGTGCGGTCGAAGCGAAGCTCGTATACAGCGTTGGGTTGGTTCTTTTGCGAGCTCTACAATCCAATTTCCTGGTCTGTGGTGAGAGTGGTTAGTTTTTATTGAATTTTTTTTTCCTTCGTTCCGAACAGTGCGTAACTTGCTCCTCACTGTCTCGTTTTTCTCTCTCCCCTCTAAAGACGTCGAAGTTGAGTGTTAGGCTTAGCGTCTGAGGCGTCGGGTTTTAGACGGCACACCAGCGAAACTGGAGCGAGGAAACGAGCCGGCAATGGTCTTCTTTGGCTAACCAAATTAGCGGGTGCATGATATATATAAAAAAAAAAGAAAAAAAAAGAAAAGAAATCTTGAGAAATTTGACGCATCTTCCTAACATGTCGATTCCCGGCGTATCCAACCATGAGTACCCGCAGTACCCGTGATAACGCAGGAACGTTTCATGTCCGGGTTGCTCTTTCTTTTTTTTTTGGTGGGGGGGGGGGGGGGGGTTATCTTCTGTATAATCCACTGATCACTTCCATCGTGGGCTAAACCAGCCAATCAAAACTGGATTTTGTGGGATCGACTTCCGGTAAGGGGACTGAATAAAATTCGGTACTCTGGGAACATTCAGTTAATGTAGGCTAAACGAATCACGCGCAGAAAAATAAATTGTAAGATCATGGTCCATTCGCAGCGCATAAATTATTTCGCCGGAAATCGAAAAAAAAACAAACATAAAGACGATGAGTGCCTGCCCTGATGGTAAACTTTTGACACTGCTGAATTCGTCCCATCAGTCTGGCGTTGTCTGCAGTAGTTGGGCTCAGAGTAAAATGGAGTATATTCTCTCAGCGGAGATTGTAATCCTTTGTCCTGGAAAACCTCGCCGTTCTCTTTTCCTTTTTCAGGCCCTGCCCGTCATCTTTTTCTTCAGCTTCATCGTGAGCATCCTCTACTTCTATGGCATAATGCAGTGGCTTGTGCTCAGAGTGGGCAGCTTCCTTCAGCTCACCATCGGAACGACGGTCTGCGAGTCTATGACTGCCGCCGCCAACATCTTCCTAGGAATGGTGAGCGCTCTTGGCCCTATCTCAAGGAGCCTGTGTCTTTGACTTTGTGTACGCCTCGCCCAAAATCATTTGAACCCAGGGAGCACACCGGAGATACGCCTTTCTTGGTATAAGTTTGGCAATCCCAGCCGCCTAACTTGAGTCTAATAAGGTTTTGCTCCAACACCTTAGACAGTGCCAAAGTACAATGGAGGTAGAAAGCTTCAGGAGGCGACCTGAGGCCATCAGAGGTGAGGCCAGAAGTGTGGAGGTACACGCCCGGCAACGATGGCCAAAGCCAAGAGCCGAGAGCTGCCGGGCGCCGAGTCAGCTTTCCTTTTTGTATAATAGCGTCTCCTGGTTTTAATCATCGTTGGGGGCGTGCACCTCCGCACTTCTGGCATCACCTCTGGTGTCCATATGTCGCTTTCAGGAGCTTCCTACCTACATCGTTGCCAAGTATACTTCTTCGGCTTTGACTTTTCTTTGGATCACCACTTAACGGCCAAAGTGCTAGGCATAGGCCGAAATTGACACGTATCAAGGGAACGACGAGCAGTAAAGCCAAAATAAATCATGAGTGTTTGTCAATTTAGGCCCAAAAATGGCCAAGTGAAAACCGAAGCGCCAAAACGGAGCCCTAATTCTGGCCTTTCCTCGAGAAGTGAATCCACAGATATTAGGTGACCGTCAAAAGGAGTGAAGCCCAACTGCAGCACATGTTTGGCAATATAGGAACCAAATATCAAGCCGGTGGCCAAGAACTTTCAAAATTGGGTTATGTCTTGGCTTCTTGGGGCATACAGGGCCCTAAATGTTTACTGCAAAACCCCACTTTGGCCCATAGACCCGTAATATTTGGGAATATATTCGAGCACTATGCTGACAACAAGGGCGTAGACTGTCGATAGGTCATTTACAAAAGTGGGCGTCCTCCCATAGTTTTTGCTTCAATTATCGAAAGCGAATTGCTATCTTGGGCTTGAATTTTGAGCCCGCATCATGCATAAACGCTCTGTCCACGTTCGGTGTCTAGGCGGGCCTAACTTTGCTGGACACAAGTTCAGTGACGCTTGGCATTAAGGGAGCGGTGCGACGATATTCAATTGGAATGTTTTACAAAATACACGAGCTTAATGGCAATATTTGGACTCAATGATACTCGCACGCAACGCCACTGGCCAAAAAAACCTTTGTTGCAGTGTAATTTCAAGGAAAAAGCAAGCGTTTTCCTTCAACCTCGCCTTCCGCAAAACTTGATGATGTAGCTGGGCGGTCGAAATACCGCCCAGTGACGACATTTTAATCCAGCTCATTGATTGGACCCGAGCACTGCGTGAGCACTCGATTTGGGGTCGTGATAATCGATAGCTCGAGAAGCATTTCGCTGCAGTCATGACATTAGCATAACCACAACAATGTCTGGAACTCAGAGCGCGTCCTGTGCCTTGCCAACCCATGCGCGTGGCTATGATCAATATTGGCGGCATATAATCGGCTCCAGATCACGTGATCTCTTGTTCTGACTGCGAGTTGGGAGGGGGAGGGGGGGTGAACACTGCTCAATTTTTTCAATTTTTTTCTGCGACTTCGATTGCGGGGGTGAAAAACGAGCAGGAGGGTTATAGGTCAATAAGGCCAGAGATTCGTTCCAAGCTGTATTTGCGGAAGGTAAGAAATCCGTGGCGTCGCACCTTTTAACTCAGATACAATCACATACGTGAGAAAACATGATTGCGCTTTAAGACAAGGACATAGGAAGAACAAACACCAAAGAGCGCTAGCTTTCAAATGATTTAATTCAAGAGCCTCAGCGTAGATACGCACTGCGTCACCGCACCGCATCTCAACCAATCCGTGGCCCCGGCACGTACCGCAAGTACACGAACTTTTTTTTCCGCCAAGTCAATGGAAGCCACACTGACGCAACACGTGCCGGAACTATTTATGGCGCCCGCCACAATTATCTCTTTAACAGTCTTATCTTTGTGCCTAGTGAGAACAGTGGAGGGAGCAAATAATGGTTAGCATCCGCAGTCATGATAGTGACACGACAGAAGACCATCCCGAACCCCGGTCACTTTCAGGTAGTGTTCTCTTAGCCGTACATTTAAACATCTGCCTGTCTGGCCGAATATGTCTTGCCACATGAAAGTGGAATCTGATACATCACCCCTTCCGTCCACGCAACAAACAGACTTCTGTGCTTGATTGGGCAGCCCGTCGATACCTTGCGGAATGGGTCTGGCAGCTTGCACATTTCTGCGAGCTTTTCGGGTGCAAAGTAAACAACTTTTACGTTTACACGTTTTGCTATTTTTCCAGGACTGTGCGCTGTTTTGTGCATTTAAGGCACAACCGCAACGTTTTGTCTTGCTTGACTTGTCTCTGGGCGCGGGCTAACATCCTTTCTTATGTTCTTAAGGACGCCTTCTGCTACAGATACAATCACAGCCATTGCAAACCCGGCACACTGCAAGCGTTCGTTTTGCTCAATCAAGCTCAAGGACATTGCATGGTGGCAAGACCTTTTGAGGGCGTTCGCAAAAATTAAGTGGTAACAACGGCTTGTTGGCCTTTGGGTGGTATGCCCAACACACGTGGTGTTACGAGAGGGTGAGATTAATGCCTATAAATTGTATAACACTATCTACGGGTACGTCATGCGTGACCTGAAGGGGGTCAAAAACATCACCAGAAACGGTCGGGAGACTTTCCACCGTCGAGGGGGAGAGGGGAATATCATTGTCAAAAAAAATTTAAAAAAAATCGTCAATATAGGTAAAACCTAAGTAGCGCTAAAAGCACTCAGGCGGTCACAAAGTACTCTGTCAAAGTGCGCTAAAAATACGTCACTCAAAATAGGAGCTATGCAGGAGCCGATACACACACCCCGTTTTTGAATAAAAATGTCGTTATTCCATTCAGAAAAAGTTGAGTTAAGATAAAAACCTAGCTGTTCTAGGAAGCCCTCTACTGGCTAGCCCGCTTCATTTTGAAAGCGATCATCCCGCGGTGGTCGATGCGCTCTTCAACGCACTTAAGTAGTTTATCATGTAAATATCATGCGAGTAATACCAATATTTTACGTGTACAGAGCAGGCTAAGAAGCCTTTGCTCGAGTTTCCTCTAAAAAATCTACAACCTCATCCGAACTTCTGATCAAAAAGGGATCGTCAATCTTAAGCAACTTTAGCTTCTCTTGCAAGCCAATCTTGAGCAACTTTAGCTTAAGCAACTTTAGCTTCTCTTACAATCACATATTTCACCAAGGAAGCGACGCCGAAATTATGACGTTCGCCAGTGTTGCTTGATGGACTTTTCAAAAGGGTCGATTGTGGTAACAGCGAATTCGCAATATTTTACGGGATGTTGAATAGACGCGTTAAAATATTAATTGTTAGCGCTCACGTAAATTGGACCTAGATTTATTTTTGGTATCGTATACGTTTGTGTTCGTGCCAACTTTGGCCGGATCTTCTTTTGGTCTTCGTAGAACTTGTCACTCTGCCGCCGGCGCACGCAATGATTCACATTTGTTGTGTTTCTGGAATTATCTGTGGTGGGGGGGGGGGGGGAGGAAGAAATAAAATATTCGACCCGCTTATTAAAAAACACATTTATATAGGGTGTTTCACAAAATGGGGACAAATTTGATATTGCGAAAACTATGCATCGCAACAAAAATAGGCTTGTGCCGTTTTGGGAATACGGTCCATTCGTCACATGCACACTCGTCACAGGACGATTGGTCACAGGACGATTCGTCACACAGGAACATTCGTCATAGGATGACTCGTCACGCGGCCAACCGGTCCCACAATAGTTCGTCCCCCCAAAAATGTATTGTTCAATTTGGGTCGGGCGGACAAAGGCGAAGAATTTGTAACGAACGTTTTAGCTTCTGATTCGGTCCCGAACATTGAATGTTGGTTTGGCCTCACAAAGTCGGTCACCTCTTACCTTAGCATGTCTTTCGCTTCTCGAGATCAAAGAATTTGTAACAGACGTTTTAGCTATCTGGGTCCGTCCTGAACGGTGAATGCGGAGGCCATATAAGAGCGACTATTTTTGAACTCAGACTACATTCAAAAGGATGGAGGTGATCGCAACAGAGAGAGGTAGAGCCATGATGCTGCACGAGGGGTACTCGTACACATTCGGCAGAAGGAATTCCGATACTTGTTGGATTTGTCGAATAGGTGTATGCAAGGCAAAACTAAAAACTGATTTGGCTGCCAGTCGGATTATTGCTCGTTCAAGCCTGCAACTGAGATCAACCTGCTGAAGACCCGTAATATAATGAAAGGAAAACCGGATGAGTATTGTAATATTAGTTTATATAACCATTGGTTTACGTGACAGTGGAAAATCGTGAAACTCCTCATCAGGGTATGTGGGCAGATGTTGAAATTTACAATTTACTATCGTCTCCTGCTCGACCAATGTGACCAGTTGCCCGCATGACGAGTCATCCTGTGACGAATGTTCCTATGTGACGAATCATCCTGTGACCAATCGTCCTGTGACGAATGCGCATGTGACGAGTCGTCCTCATCCCGCCGTTTTGGTCCTGGGCCAGGGGCCTATATGGGAAAACAATAATGTCCGGAATAATTAGATTGTTAATTATCTTTAAGTAATTAACTTTTTTTAATATAGTGTGTAAGGGCATGGTTTCAATTAGAAAATAGTTCAGCATCATCGAAAAACACTAAATCAACAAATTGCAGGGAGATAAAAGGCACGCGAAGCGTTTTACGGCTTTCTGAAAAACCGCACGAATTCGGTGGGTTTTTAAGTTTCGGTTTGCAATCACAGCGCAACTCGGCCCCGACGGCACCATTCCCCGTAAAAAAATAGTGCAACCAGCCTCTTCTGCGTTGCCCGAGGACAGCGCAGCAGAGCTTGGTTGCACTAGTTCTCCACGCCCTCTCAAGCACTTTCCGTAGGGTGGTCTTTACCGCTCACACATGCCTCTCCCACCAGCTGTCCCTCCATGGGGCACTGGCAACAATGAG